AAAGTCAAAATAATTGTTTAACGGTTGATTTTTATTTTATTTTATTTAAACACATAAATATTGGTACAAGGAAGCATCAGATAAATATGCGCCTCACAAATCTCATTCCATTTGTGTGAGGGCTATGATACTGCTCAGGTGCCCAAACTGAAGTAGGTGGTTTTCTAAGGGGGCCACACCCGGAGCCTTTGACCTGAATGTCTGATCCACAAGGCAGTGGAGCATCGTGAGGAGTCTCATGGTAGCCTGTGATCAACGGTTGATTCGTACGCCATTTGTTCCCTCAGGATACTGGAGCCCATGTGCACCACTGGTTTGGAATCAGGGTTTTCCAACTCCCCTAGAGGAACTTTCCATGTCCACCAACCCGGTTAAAGCGCCGGACATTCGCTTTTCGTCCTCTCACTTTCGTAAACAACACCCCCGCCACGAGAATGCAGTGAGTAGGACTTCCCTGTTAGAGGATATATATTCGCTGGCCATATGAAAGCATTTCGAGAGGGAGAGGTGACTCTCCCCACTCTGGGCCGTAACAGGGCATTTGGGGGCTTGAATTCATTAATCGATTTAAGGTAGATCACCATAGAAAACCTGGAAGCGTTGGACGGCTGTTTCGTCTTACTATGGTACTTCTCAACAGGGGGCATCCATGATTTCACATGCACGATTCCAACTTAGGACCTTCGGCCTAGTGCGCGAACACCTAACCTCTAGACCACTGAACTGGCATCAACCAGTGTTAATGTCTAACCTCAATCAATCCACGATATTGCGCTACCGTCCGCCATTGTCTTCAGTCAGTAATTGTCTCACAACAGACACGATTTGACTCCGCTTGTCACATATACGCACCACAACTCCGGGAAACACATCCTGAAGTCAGTCACTAGTGAGCACATGATAATTATTATCAGAATGATGGTTTATGAAAATTGTAGTAATTTAATGGTTGAATTCGTGAGTGCTCCCTCGTTTTTCAGCTTGGTCTAGTCCAAATCGACTGATGAATTCAACCACTAGGTTACTTCAATCTCCCAAAACCTTCATTCTGGAAAAAATTATTACATCACATCTTTTTTGTGATTTTTTAATTTTCAAGTCATAAAATGCCAACCAGGAAAAATAATTTACACCATTCCAACCAAAATCTAACCGTAAAATAGAGGTTACCGATTCCTTTTTGTATTGTTTATTTCATACTCACATTGATGTTTAGGAGAATGATCAATTGCAATTCTAAATATCAATGGGCGTATTGAAACAAACAATACAAAGTTGAATTAAGATTTCACCTCATTACACACACTAATGGCTGTCTGGATTCAGTAGCTAGGTAAATAACGTTATGGAGTTTGAAGCGAACGATAGTGGGTTCAAGTCCCGTAGTGAACATCAACATACGACGAGTCTTAAATAGGACGAAACATGCATCCTGGATTCCACTCATAGCCACCAACCATCCTTGTTGACAATAGAGGTTTCATTGACGTTGCTCTGTATATTATTTTATTTTTTCAGTGTACCAGGATATACAGAGTAGTGAAGCTTTATTTTGCCCGCGTAAAATTGATCGTGAAACAATTTGACGTATTATCGCTTATCATTATGTACTAATTTTCAGTCAATGCGTTTATCCCTATTAGATTAATCAATTGTATAGTCACTTTTATTCATTCATTCTTACTCTGTTGTGTGCTACTGATGTCAATAGATATAAATAGTATGTATCCTCAATCTAAAGTGAAATACCTGACTGTAGAAGGTTAAGAAGATCGAAGAAAGGAGAACAAGAACAAAGAATGATTGATTTGGAAACGAAGAAACAATAAAGTCTGATACCATTAACTGACATTTTGTAAATGATGTATTTACTCTATACATCTGGTTGTCCCAACTTGTGTTCTCGTTCATTACATTATCATTATATTCATTATTTTCAAGCATAATATTTTGCATTATCACTTCTAAATTTTCAACTTCTTGAAGGCGATATAAAGAGTTGAAAGATATTTCGGTTTATTATATACAATTTTAATGAGATCATTGTCAATCAATATTCAATAATTCACGAGACATTTGTTTTTATTACTGGTTACCAAAGGCAACGAGTGGGTAAACCCTATATCTATTACTGTTATATAATCACTTATTTAATACTTGAGGGACTTATAATGTAAGAAAATATAGAAACATCAAAGATAAATACTACTAAGGTAATATTATTGACATACGGTAAAATAAATTTTAGTTTATTTTGGTCTATAGTTTATTAACCAATATATAAATTGATAAGCTATAGTTTAATATATGAAGTTAGACATTAACACTACTAGATGCCGACTCAGTGGTCTGTAGGTCGCACGCGAGACCAAAGATCTTGAGTTCGAGTCGCACTGGCGGGATCGTGGATGTATACTGCTCAGGAGTCTCATACTACTAGGAAACGGTCGTCCAGTGCTTCCAGGTTTCCCATGGTGATCTAACTTGAATCGACCCATGAATTCAACTATTGAATGAAAAATAGTTTGTGTGAAATAATTAATAAAAACAGTAAATTATTTATTATATTTCATTTTTATCTAGCTATATGTTATCATCCATATAGTTCATCAGACATAAATGCCTTCTTGTATAGTCCAAAACCTTACATAGTTTGAGTAGTAAATTTTTGGAACTGTTAAAATTTTCTCGGTAAGACCATAATTTTTGGACGACCTTTGAACAACGCTAGAGTGACCTTGAGAGTGTCCACCTAATAACTAAGACCAGTTGATTGTTAAGGTTACGAATCAGATTAAGGATTTTCATCATGAACTGATATCAACTGTAATGCCAAAACTCTATTTAGCCAAATGAAAAAGTGAATTTTGTGCCAAAATCCGAGACCTGTTATCTTATACCTGGTTGGTTCGTCTATAAATTATAATCTTGCCATATTCTTTGATTCATTCATATTGCACTGAAGTGGTTGCAAAAGAACTAGGGTTCAAGATTAGTCAATTTAATAACAAATGAAAAACAATGAGTAATATATACAGCATTTTTATTTTACGGTTGAATTCACGAGTCCATCTAAGCTAGATCATCATTCATAACCTGGAAGCACTGGATTGCCATTTCATAACAATACGGAACTACTGAGCATTGTACATCCAAGACCACGCTCATGCGACACGAATCCGATACCTTCAGTCTTGGGCGCGACTGCTTAAACTCTAAATCACTGGGCCGATAGCCGACAGTGTTAATGTTTAACTTCATTTGTAAGACTATAGCTTAACAATTTGTGTGTGGGTTGATAAACTATCGATTCATGATCGTGCTCAACCTTTCATCTATTGTATGAGGTAGATAACTGTCTCACAGAAACACATTTTGAAACTTGAGTTAACACAAAATTAGAATCTTCAAATTTCGCTTTATAACATATTTGAATTGTGTCATTTAGTCAACATTCAATAGCTATCAAGTTGAAATGTGTAACGACGTAATTCTGTTCCATTTCTCAGTAGGTTCGACGACGTTCTCCAGAACTTTAGCAAATTCATTTTAAATCAAGTCTCAGACTGAAAGCATGATATAACTATTATTATTATTATCATTTATATAAGTCTGCTAATTCAATAGAAGACATTTAATAGAAGTTAATCTAGAAAAATCTGATAGATTCTTATGAAACTAAATGGTGATTGAGATCACTAGTACATAAAAAGCTCACTACAATTCCTCTTCTACATTAACCATAAACATTTCGTGCCTAATGTTCTTTAATGAAGTACATTCAATGATGATATCATTATAATCATATATAAATGCACGTGGAGCATATTTAGATTATAGTTAATTATAGCAAAGGAGGTAAGGGCAAATGAAACAGTGTGACTGGAAACTGAAAACGATTATAGCAACTCAGATACAATTGAGTTTGTTTACATCTAATTTGACTAAGCCTTTTTGTTAACTTATTTAATGGACAGTCATTCATACAATAACAACCCATCTATACCATTGTACTTTTATTATATACGCTTGAACATTGCTTACTGCCTACGCATATATTCATTCCGCTAGCATTATTATTAATCGCTTATTTGATCCGATGATTCATGCTTTTCCGCTTATATATATATGTACATCTTAATCCTGTTTACTGCTCTTGCCCTGCTTGCTCTCTGCTCTGCTCTGTATTACGCTACACCGTACTGTATATGCTTACTCATTCATCCGGCTCTATGGCACTGCTTTTTCATGCTTGTTTGACGTACCTGTAATATTGGATAACTGTGTGTGGTTCAGCAATAAACACGATCAACCCTTCGTATTCGTCTTCTGATTTATACATCGTTAGGACGTTGTCAAGTAACGGTTATCAAGACGAACAATATACGAAGCTTAGGGATAGTACCGAATATCGACCACCACAGAATTGGAAGCCTCGCCGAGCGATCACAAAATAATTTTCGACGATATAATCTAATCCCGAAAATTCAAAGCGCTGCGTCTCAAATCGGATTATTATCTGTATCATAATCATAATTGTGGATTTATTAGATTCTAACTCACAAACATTGAACTTAACGATTATATTCATACTAAATAACGATCATTCACAAACAATTGATATATTGGTGCGATTTAGTAAGTCTGTTCCATTTTATAAATTGTACCATTTATTATTATCATTGTTTCTGTCCGTCTATTTTTTTGTGACATCTATATCATATTTGTGTACTACTCAAAAATTTTTTTGTAAGCATGTCTTCCGAAAACACTATGTCAAGTGTACAGCAAACTTCGTCCGTGAGAACTCTCAACCTTCCAGTCCCCTCTTTTAAAGTTACCGACCCTCAGCTGTGGTTCATTAGACTCGAAAACTATTTTCTGGCTAGTCGTATTAACTTACAAAGAGATAAATTCGGCCTCACAAGCACTCTCCTCCCAGACGAAGTAGCAGAAAGCGTACGAGAGGCGTTATCTAAACCGGATACTGAAAGGCCATACGATGTACTAAAGCAGGCAGTAATTAAAGCAGTCGCACTAAGTGACCAACAAGCTGTTGAGCAGCTTCTCAACCAGGTACAAATGGGGGATAGAACACCATCACAGTTAAAAACTCATATGGAAAGTCTACTAGGTGATAGAAAAATAGACAATAACTTATTTTATCAACTGTGGCTTCGCCGACTCCCGTCCAGTATTCAGCAAATCCTAGCTGTTGGAGATACTGACGCTGATATAGACAACATAGCGAAAATAGCTGATAGAATATACGAAAGAGCAAAGCAAGCAAGCCCTCAATCACACAGCGTGACAGTAGACGATAGAATCAGTACTCTGCAGAAAGAGATAGATGTTTTATGCCGCAAGCTCACAGAGTTGACCCAGAGCGAGAGACCACGAAAATTATCACGAGTTGGCACGCGCGAGAGAAGCCAATCAGCTTCCGGAAGACGCGCAACTCCGCTGATATGTTGGTATCATCAAATGTATGGTTACAGAGCAAGAAAATGCTTACAACCTTGTAGATTTAGCACGGCAAGTAAGCGGTACCCTCGGTTGTCCATGGCAACGCCTGCAGCGAACACAAAGCCCTCAAACAGCCGCCTATTTTACATACAAGACCGAATGACAGGCACTCAATTCTTGGTGGACACGGGGGCTGAAATTAGCGTAGTACCCCCAGTATGTGACGACAAAAGAAACCTTAACACTTCATTGGTTCTAAAAGCGGCGAATAAATCAGATATTAAAACATATGGCAAACGAATGTTATCCTTAAATTTCGGACGAGGCGCGACATACCGCTGGGATTTTGTCATAGCAGACGTATCGGTACCTATAATAGGCATCGATTTCTTATGCAATTTCGATTTACTAGTAGACTCACGGCGCCATCGACTCATAAACGGTACTCATACTACTTCCATTAGGGGAACACTTACAGAATCTGTTTCTATGAACCTAGTGGTAGATAAGAGCCGCAACGACCCACGCAAATTATTGTTAAACGAGTTTCCAGAGCTTTTAAAAGTAACGTACAATAAAACAGATCTCAAGCATACTATACAACACCATATTATAACCAACGGGCCACCGGTTAATGCAAGGCCAAGAAGATTAGACCCAAAAAGGCTAGCAATAGCAAAGCAAGAATTCGACAAGTTAATGAGGCTGGGCATAATAAGGCCTTCGAACAGCCCGTGGGCATCCCCATTACACATGGCTCCGAAAAAGAACGGAGAATTAAGACCATGTGGAGACTATCGAGCACTTAATAAGCAAACAATGGCCGATAGATACCCTATACCACACATCCATGATTTTACTTACAGTATAGAAGGTGCTACAGTATTCTCGAAGATTGACTTAGTTAGAGCGTATTATCACATCCCGGTCGCTCCACAAGACATACCAAAAACAGCAGTAACAACCCCTTTTGGGCTATATGAATTCTTACGCATGCCTTTCGGACTGACTAATGCAGCACAAACATTTCATCGGTTTATTGACCAGGTCATCAGAGGCTTACCTGGAGTATACGCATACATAGACGATTTACTAGTAGCCAGCTCCACTATGGACGAGCACATACAGCAACTACGTCAATTATTCGCGCGGATAAGAGATCACGGTATTTCCATAAACATTGAGAAGCGTGAGTCTGGAAAAGGATCCTCACAGTTCCTTGGACACATTTTAACTTCTCAATGTATCACAAGGTATCTACAGAAATCGATACCATCAGAGACAATTCGTTGCCCGATACACAGAAGAAATTATGACGATTTCTGGGACTAACAAATTATTACAGACGTTTTATTCCGAATTGTGCGGCAATAATTCAACCACTGACCGATGTGTTACGGGGACACTCCCAGACATTCCAATTATCAGCAGAGGGAAGAAAGAGCGAAACACCTTCAACCATCATGACAGATGCATCGAGCGTGGCGGTAGGAGCTGTTTTACAGCAGTTAGTAAATGGCACATGGGAACCGCTTTCATTCTTCTCAAAGAGACTGAATCCTTCGCAAACGAGATATAGTACTTTCGGAAGAGAATTACTAGCAATTTACTTAGCAATAAAACATTTTCGACATATGGTAGAAGGCATAGATTTTGCAGTTTACACAGACCACAAACCACTCATGAACGCACTAAGCGCAAAGCAAGATAATTACTCTCCGAGGGAGATCAGACAATTAGAGTTTATTTCCCAGTTCACTTCTGATATACGATATATTACAGGCCAAGAAAACGAAGTAGCTGACGCACTATCAAGAACGACGATAAATACTCTCGTCCAATCCGAAATCGATTATCGCGAATTAGCAGAATTACAAAATATAGATGTCGAGTTAAACAGACTGAAGTCTGACAATACAACCTCTCTGGTACTAAAAGAAACTTCAATCGAAAACGTGAGTATTATGTGCGATATTTCTACGGGCCGACCAAGACCATTTATTCCGAAGCCTCTAAGACGAAAGGTTTTCGACACTATGCATAACATATCACATCCTGGGATAAAGGCCACAATCAAATTAATCAGCGAACGTTTTGTATGGCCAAGTATGAACCGGGATGTTCGTAATTGGACGCAAACTTGCATAAAATGCCAAAAAGTTAAAGTAAATCGTCACACCAGTTCCGCAATAGGTCCTTTTCGTCATCCTGATAGCAGATTTGAGCATATACATATTGACATTGTAGGACCGCTGCCGATTTCAAACGGCTTTAGTTATATTTTTACCTGCATTGATAGATTTACGCGATGGCCTGTAGCAGTACCCATAAAAGACATTTCGGCCGAAACTATAGCCAAAACCTTAGTAGAGCATTGGATCGCTCATTATGGTGTGCCTGCACACATTACAACCGATCGAGGAGCCCAATTCGAGAGCCACCTCTTTCAACAACTCACTGAACTCCTAGGAATCAAGCGTATTCGGACAACATCTTACCATCCGATGGCGAATGGTATGGTAGAAAGATTACATCGGCAACTCAAAGCCTCTCTTACATCTGTTATTAGCAATAATGATTGGGCCAGCAAGCTCCCATTAGTCATGTTTGGTTTAAGATCAACAATTAAACAAGATATAGGATGTTACCCAGCAGAGTTGGTTTATGGAACCACTTTACGTCTTCCAGGAGAATTTTTCACCTCAAGTAAAAGTGTTCCAACTGATTTAGCCAGCTATGTACAACGTCTAAAGCAGCATATGAGTAATCTAAGAGTAACACTTCCGAGGCAACATCAACAACGTGTGTACATACCAAAACAACTGAGCGACAGTACCCATGTGTTTATTAGAATGGATAATGTGCAGCGTCCCTTACAACCAGCTTACGATGGTCCATTTAAAGTTATTAGAAGAAATGATAAAACTATTACAATAGATAAGGCCGGAAAAACGGATGTTATTAGCATAGACCGAGTCAAACCAGCTTTTATCGAAGCTGACGATCAGCCAGTATATACAGATCATTTGAAAATCGTCGAGTCACCGAAACGTGAGTCTCAATCATCAACGACATCGACGAACAAAAACGAAGAGAAACCAGTAACGACAATATATGGTCAAAGAGTAAGATGGCCTCAACGATACATAGCTACGATTTTGAACTAATAATTTCTTTCGCATCTTCAGATGTAAATTTCTTTCCTGTTCGTTTTGTATGTGTACATCGAAAACTTTAATCTATCTATTATTATAGTCAACAAAGTTTGCATATTCCAATGTAAATGTATATAAACCTCTAAAATCACTAACACATTATTTTGATCTGTTATTTTATCTGGCCTCACGGATATATACGAAATCAAACTTTCACGTACTTGTAGTAACTCACACGATAGTTCTATCATACATCTTAATTTCATAAATTTTGATATTTATTGTCCTGTTAAGTTTAACATTTTTAATTCGCAAACACAGACACTATTTTGTATCCATGTTTGCTGGGGGGGGGAGCTATTATAGCAACTCAGATACAATTGAGTTTGTTTACATCTAATTTGACTAAGCCTTTTTGTTAACTTATTTAATGGACAGTCATTCATACAATAACAACCCATCTATACCATTGTACTTTTATTATATACGCTTGAACATTGCTTACTGCCTACGCATATATTCATTCCGCTAGCATTATTATTAATCGCTTATTTGATCCGATGATTCATGCTTTTCCGCTTATATATATATGTACATCTTAATCCTGTTTACTGCTCTTGCCCTGCTTGCTCTCTGCTCTGCTCTGTATTACGCTACACCGTACTGTATATGCTTACTCATTCATCCGGCTCTATGGCACTGCTTTTTCATGCTTGTTTGACGTACCTGTAATATTGGATAACTGTGTGTGGTTCAGCAATAAACACGATCAACCCTTCGTATTCGTCTTCTGATTTATACATCGTTAGGACGTTGTCAAGTAACGGTTATCAAGACGAACAATATACGAAGCTTAGGGATAGTACCGAATATCGACCACCACACGTTTACGAGGTATGTGGTTTATTGTGGACCAGGCACATCAAGCTGACGAGTCCCAAATAGGACGAAACGCGCGTCCTGGATTCCACTGCTAGCCACTATCCATCTTTGCTTAAAGGAAGGACTGTTATCAGGAGAAACTGCAAAAGCAGACATCGATCATCCATTTGCATCTCCTGGTGTGTTCTGCAATTCAAACAGTCTTCTCATCTCATCATCAAGTATTCAGTCTACTCGGTGCTTTCCATTGCCTGAAATAATTCGTTCCGTCACACGACTGTGACAACATTGAGACGTTTCACAACATACAACTTGCAAACAATCTTGTGAGTGGCGTTCACTACGATAATACAGATTGTATGAAGCCTCAATGTCCCAACAGACATTAAAACTTCAAATGACTTAAAGCCATGATGTAGATAAGAATGGACGTATTGAAATCAATTTAAAAAATTTTTCAAAATAAGTTGTAGAGGTAATCACTACATTATTTTGTGAGACATGTGCTTATGAATTTCGTGAATTAGTATTCCCAATCAATAATTGACCAACAAGTGGGGGAATACAGTCACATCCTTACATTTATTTCACTTTTCATTGAACTGATTCATTGATACAACGTGATAGATAGGAACTCTTCTTCTGATATGTTACATAAAATATTCCATAACTTAATCGAAACAAATATCTAACTGCTTTTCTTACCAGTAATATCGGTCCAAAGAATAGTTCACATTCACCGCTCAGAGTTATGAACGCTTCCCAACTTCTATGATGTGTGGGATTGTGTATAGACTGTAAAAAGCTGGAGAGAAAAACAACTGAGACGGTATAATGAGTGTTGCTTTAATAATAGAATGTTGACGAAGTTTGTATTGACTAAAATATATCTGTAGAATTTTATTCATCAGTACTAGTGCTGAGCTTCAATGAATTACTGAACACTTGTCAAAACCTAATGTATATTCTTCATAAATACAGTTGTTACTCTACATAGGTGAAGTGAAGTATGCAAATGATCTATATTTGTCAATCAAATCCATTTTCCCAGTATTCTGTTATCAATGATGATTCCTAAGACAAATACATAAAACACGAAACTTCGTAAAGGAATTCTCGGAAATCCGTGACCAGAAAAGCTAATCCGTGTCAGGTAGGAACAAGTATCTACCTCAAACAATGGAAGGTGAATGCACGATTTCGTGGATTGGTTAAACTTAGATATAAACATTGTCGTATACGGGCTCAGTGGCTTAAGGGAATAAACGTTTGCGAGCGAGAACGAAGGTAATGGGTTCTACTCCCTCTGGTGTGGGATTATGGCTGTGCACTGTTCAAGAAACCCTTATTTGGATAAAATAGCATTTCAGTGCTTCCACGTTGTCATTGGGGGTCTGGAATCGATCGATCTCTATCAAAAATTTAATCAGTTTAAATGGATTGTCACCAAAAACCTAACTGAGATAATTGTGTAGTACTGTTTGAAAACATCAAAATATGCCAGACTAATGTGATCAAATAAATGAATACCTCAAAGTTTGTTCTTCTGTCGGTAATGTTGAAGGAATACAATTGGATAAGACTAAATCTTCATTTGTCAGAATAGGCTGTATACCAAGTCTATCAGAAACTTGTAATAGTGGTTCAGCGATTTGTACTGGTAATGACTAAAATCATATTTAGAAGAAGAACAGGTATGCAGATGAATATCTACGTCAAACATTTAATAAGTAATTATAAAGAGATAGATAAATGCACATACAGATTTGCATCTTAAAACCTTTATTTCTACAGATGCTCTCATAGAACTACAATAAAACATGTGATTGAACAGTTACATATTGTCAAACCGTTCACCATGTATGTTCACTCTACTGAGACTGACCGCTTACTACTGTCCTTATTATCAACAACGGGGAAATACACACCATTCTAAAATAATTTCATATTGATTGAAAAGTCACTTCTATGTGAATTCAGTGAGTCAGTAGGTGGCAGATTGACATTGTGCGTGATTCGTTGAAATTTTATTGTGGTCACCAGTACATACAACTAGCTAACCAATTCTCAATAAGACGAAACTTTTACACTAGATTTCAAAGCAAGTTACCATTCAGCTTGATTTTGTTAAAAACACAAAAACAGCCTATATAATATGGGTCATTTGTGATGTCGAAACATTCTGTATTCATTCAACTAATTCGGATTCATTTAAAAGACTTCTAAAATACTCTTGAAAATTAGTGTTATCGAATTCCTAAGACGGTTGATATGTCTACTAACTATATTTTGCTTCGATCTGACCATTATACGAACAATAGTAATTTCACTATCGATCTAATTATGTTACACAAACAATGGCACTGTTACTGACCAATTAAAATTAAAGTGTGACAACACTTAATATGTACATTGAATGGTTATGTACTACACAAAACTATATTTACTCAATACCTATGAGAATTACTTAATGTGCACTGCTGAGTAGGTCCACACCAGGACGAACCGGCCGTCCAGTGCGTTCAGGTTTTTCAAGTACGTCTAGCTTCAACTGACTCAAGAACTCAAATTTCAATGCAATATCCGCAAATACACACCTTTCATAGAATTTTAAAGTTATCTCACATCTTACAAGTCACTGTTAATAGTTAGTTAAGTGAAGGATGTTTGAGTGAACAATTGTTTTCAATAACTTCATCATCAGGCTCCATAATTATGGTATAAATTTGTAGATACAATAAAATCTATGAACAGAAATGGCAGGACCGTGTAATCACTAGACATATCAGCATTGTTTACTGGCATCTCCCTCACTGAAACTATCGATAACATAAGCGAACAATTGTTAGTAAAGAAAATAGAGAGACTGACCCTAGTATGTAAAATGAAGGACATTATTGTTTAAACGTACTATGAATATCTACGTTTTGTTTAAGAATGAATTTTACAGACACGTCGATGGAGTAGCAATGGGATCATGTCTAGGCCCGAAGCTAGTTCATACTATTCTAACCATTCTAGAAAATCCTAAGTAAACAAGATTAATAATGTCGATACATAGATGACAGACTAATCGTAATATCAACAAACAAGGCATGTTGAACTTCCCCAATAACGTCCATTCAACTATCAAATTCACCAGTGAAGAGCAGAAAGACAATAGCATAACTTTCCTTGATGTTCTAATTTCAAGAAGGATAGACGGTTTCATCAAGAGAAATATACTTAGAAAGAATATATGGAAGGTTCAGTACACCTATTTTTCTAAAGCTTCACACCTCTTCAATACAAAATAAATATGTTTAAATGTCTGAGCCACCAAATCAAGCTATCATGTTTTGAGGATAGTGTAGACAGCGAAATAGACATACTAAAGAAAACAATCCGAAATAATGGCTATCCAGATAATCTCGTTAGAATTTTTTTAGTAGAAAAAATTGAGACTCAGTCAGTAAAACACTCTATATCTGAAACTGCATTATTAAGGAGACAATGTAGGTGATATTTTAACACATCTACTCAAAAGCTCTGTTGATAGGAATTGTCACACCGCCATGATACACATAAGTCTTCCAAATAAACCAGTACTTACACAACAAACCGAGGATAGTTTACCAATGATGGGCTCCTTCATGTGTGCATACCAATACAACTGCTCCTGTGGAGCTAGTTGCATAGGTCGTATTCAGTGAGCTCTATCCGTGTCTGTTTATGAACACGTACTGCCATGGTTGGGAAAAGGAGTTACTAAATCGATCAACACTATTATTCATTCTCATCCGGTAGCTAGTGAACATGACACTAAAATAGAGAAAGCTTTCTCTGTTTTATATCAAGTTCTAAAAATTCTACCATAAGCAGATAGATCATGACTACTCTACATAGCTGAGAAGCCATATGGATCAACTCGAGAAAACCGAACTTATGCATCTCGAAAAGGTACATCTAGCATCTTTGTTCACCTCGACGTACGACTGGATCGTAATAATTACATATTATATTCATACAACGATATTATTATTATTATTATTATTATTATTATTACGATTGCTACTATCATTAATGCCTTACAAGAGTTTTAGCAAATTCATTTCTGCTATATTACCATTATACTGATTATGACTTGACATCTTACTCTAAATCATTCTGACCTTTAGTAAATGAACTTTCAACTTTACAAATAACACAATTTCCAAGTATATATGTCATGACAGATGAAAAAAACATTCACCACATTTAACATATTACATTGTCGAATTCGTTTATCCAAGCCTTATTTTGTTTGGCCTTTGTAAAATATCCCAATAACTATAGACGTACTGCTGTGTGGTCTACTTATATCCACATAAGTAGTATATAGTGATGGTCAGACATAGGATGTATTTGGGCAGAAGATCGATAAGGAACGCATAGGAATGAAGCGTGATCGTTACGAAAATTCATGAACAATGAAATCAGAGAAGACTGACTGATATTAGTAGAAGGAACAGTTAAGATTGAGACAGTTGATTGTTATTTTGCAAATTAACTGTTGACTGTATGGTTATCAGAATTCAGTGAGATAGTCTGTCATTTGTGTTAAAATACATTCGATTGTCTCCACCCATGTTCTTCTTCCCTACACTATAAATGTAGAGCATAATGATGAAGTTATCGGAAACCATTGTTCATTAAAATATTCTTCATTTTCGAATATTCTATAAGGATTTTTAAACTGCTGAAGTCATTTAAGTAATATTCAAATTAGTCATAATTAGAAACATAAAAGGAAAATGTAATTAAAACTTGTATGTACTGTTATGTGCTTTCAGGTTTTCCAAGGTGGTCAAGATTCAATTGACTGATGATCTCATCTATTGTAATCATTTATACGTGTAGACTTAAATCAAATTCGCTTAATCCATTCAATGTACAGTCTGTTTGAAACGAAAGGTACTGGGTTCGAGTCTCAGAGTAAACATCAACTCCGAGATGCAGGTACACTCAGCTGACGTGTCCCGAATCGGACGAAACATAAACATATTATAAACATATTATTCGACTAATGTATTGCAGTTTCTCCAAAATCACTTCCATGCTATGGAAATATAATGAAGTATGTTGTCACTGAATATGTATTCAACATTCTATACATGCATATCATTTCCAAAATGATAATTCACCTACCTCTGTTTCTCCACCTTCTCCATCTTGCCAAACATAAACAGAACATATGAAGGCAAGAATTTTATGTGCCAATCTCAATTCTTTATGATTATCAAGACCATCCAAATCTAAAAGTGGTAACTAGGAAAACAGGGGAGATTATTTCCATTACAAGAACACACAAATCAATTAACTAAGTCATTTATTACTATTTATCTATAATCTACATATCCGTTTTAAATGTATTTCCTTGAAGAGATTGTGCAGCAATCTGAAAGTTGATTGACTTTAATAAATGTACACGGTTGAAACAATGTAACAGAAAGTCTGAAATGTTTACTTAGTAGATTTCAAAGAGATTTTCTCAGAGTTTTCATATGATAGGAATTATCTTTATATTTACAGTGTATAGACCAGAGGTCATCAGTACGCTCACTGCATTGTCTCCATGTATGAACATAGGATCAGCATCCTACTTGTAGGAATAATGTTAAAAGTACTTATATGAACACCACTGAAGATATTAAAATTAGTAAGTAGATTCCTAAAATTTGAAATGAATATGTCTTCTGGTTACGAGGTCATAGTATTTTAGGGGTAATAATATACACATCATCCTAAACCTCAAATTGTGTAAATCGATATTCACTGATTGTCTGCCTGAGCACAGGAGACAAATGGTAAGTGTAAATGGGGCTCTCTCATCGTGGGAACCAGTAAAAAGTGGCGTCTCCCAAGGCACGATTTTAGGTGCTCTTCTCTTTTTACTTTATATAAATGAATTACCAGCTATAGCTAAGTCATCCGTCCTACTATTCGCCGATGACATTAAGATTTGGAGATCCATATATAGTATGTCAGACAGAATAGTTTTACAGGAAGATCTTAACTCATTAGTGACATGGATGAATGGTTGGTCACCAGAAGTAAACCCTAATAAAAGTGTTGTGATGCAATTAAATAACTACGATGATTCGTATCACTACACAATATGTGGACTAGTGTTGCCCAAAGTAAGAAACTATAAAGATTTAGGAGTCATACTAAGTAATGATCTCAAAACAACCAGTCATTGTAAGGCTTCTGCTGCAAAAGGCTATACAGTATTATGGTCTATTAGTAGATCTTTCCGGTATCTGGATGGGGAAATGTTTAGATTATTATACTCAACTTTCGTACGGCCACATTTGGAATATGGGATTCAAGCAGCGAGTCCTTGTTTCAAATATGAGGCGGATACGTTGGAACGAGTCCAACGCCGCGGGACAAAAATCGTAAAAGGCCTATCTAGCCTATCTTATGAAGACAGACTGAGACACCTCAACTTATTTCCGTTATCTTACAGGCGAATACGGGGTGATCTAATATTGGCATATCGTATCCTGAACGATGACCTTGGTACTAACATGTCCTAACTTTTCCTTTCGTCTAGGGCTGATCATTTGAGAGGACATTCAAAGAAAGTCCAAAAACCGAGATCAAATCGTCCACGTCTGGAGTTTCGTTTCTCGCACCGAGTAGTGAATTACTGGAATTCTATACCAGAACACGTAATATCATCACCTTCTGCTGATATATTCAAGACAAGATTTGACCTCCACAGTGTAACAAACTGCAAGGATTAAAATTATTAATATATCTCTCTAAATGACGGTTTATGATGTTTTGTTAAGGACTATTTGTGGAGTGTATAATGTCTATATCTTCATCATAATACACTAGTTCATATTGTTGTTTATCGAATTCATACGTTTACAAATGGATATAATTCAAATAGTAGAAAATGATGTAATCAGATAACAGAATAAGATAATACATCTGTGTATATGGACTGTTAGATAGAATATCTCATTGGGACGATGTCCATATCATTCTCCATAACTGATAGATACATGTAAGAATAATACACTTTAGCAATCAAGCCATTTCAGTTACTTATTCTTCTCATTATTCCCTACTTCTTCCACTTCCACTACACACTCTCAAGTGTTCTCGAAGGAATTCTTGTTTGTTGAACTATTGTGTAAATATAGGAAACGCATATATATATTGATCCTGTAAATTAGATTACTATAAACTACTATATATCACTGTAGATATATTTGAGTTATAAACTATACGTGATGATTACGTGTACTCATATGAAACACACATGATATAAGTAATATTATAGTATTTTTCATAGTTGAAATCATGAGTCAATTGAAGCTAGACCACCATGGTAAACCTGGAAGCACTGCTTTAAGGCCGGTTCGTCCTATTATGGGACTCCTCAACAGAGCGCATCTGTAGTATCGGTTTCTATGTTAAGCCCATATACTTTATACTAGTTACTGGCCAAGTCAATTCACCTATACATTGAGTCATATTTTTATCTTGTTAATTATTCGCTTATTAACCTTGACTATATTTTTATATGAGCGTATATGTGATCCATTCGTATTCTATTCATCATATATCTGTCATTCATTTTTGTCTGATTACAAATATTGAGCAATGCTTGCTCGTAGCGAGTTGGCATCCCAGCCATCTCCACTATGCATCATCTTTGCTTCGCTCGCTTACACTTGCTCATGTGCTCACAGCTTTCTGGTCTGCATCATTTATCAATAAAAATGTAGTTGCCGCTTCCTTTTGCCTTCTGATTTTATACACCGTTAAGATTGGTATAATAACGGTTATCGAATTGAACTATTATTGAAGCAAGGAACTACACATCCACGATCCCGTCTCGCAAGCGAGATTCGAACCCAAAACTTAACAGTCTCTCGCTAGAGCACTTAACCGATGTATGCGCACTGCCGAGGATTCCCATTATAAGACGAAACGGCCTTAAAGCAGTGTTTCCAGGTTTTCCATGGTGGTCTAACTTCTGACTAATGATTTAGATTATAAAAATATTAAATCTCCACAAAAGCCCCTTCTGATAATTCCATGATTTTGTTACTATTACTGACTTGTAAACTGTAATAATTGATTTAGTATTTTTAATATATGTCAATAAATATTACTGTAAATTAGAGTAAAGCCTAATGATGATTTAATTGAAAACATTATGGTTTACTTATAATTTTGTTAGTGTAATTTACATTATCCTCCATTTTGTATCATAAACGACTTATTTACATAACCTAAAGCTGGCCCAGTAGTCCAGAGGTTAAGCGTTCATGCGCAAAAATGATAGGTTCTGGGTTCAAAACTTACGAGGTGGGATCGTGGATGCTCACTGCTGAGGAGTTTCACAATAGGCGATACAGTTGTCCAATGACAATCCAGGTTTCCCATGTTGGTCTAGCTTCAAATGACTTATGAATTCAACTATGAAAAATACTAAAAATCTCCACAAAACCCCTTCTGATAATATTATAGTAGTAGTAGTAGTAGTAGTAGTAGTAGTAGTAGTAGTAGTAGTAGTAGTGGCAGTAGTAGTAGTAATAGTAGTAAAATCAATGTTTACAATAAAGAATATCATCAATTACTTACCAATTCTATTTCTTTTCTTAAACTTCGATTTCTTGATAACTCCGGTAATCGATCAATTATTGTATTCCATGCTTTCCATTTCAATGGAAGACTTTTCTACAAAGTTTTAATCATTTCAATATTTAAAAAAACAAACCATTGGATTCTCTACAATTGCACCAGTTTTATATGATAAACAATATGATTCTATATTGTTCATTGTTAGACTATTTGGTTTGTTGTTAAATAGATTGTCTTATACATCTCTATGTATCAAACGTGTCTATTTATATATACATATAAATGTATACTATATCACGTGTAGTTATTTGATAATATGTTAATATGAGTATAACTATCCAATCGTAAAGTTGATTGAATGATAAGATTGAACCAATGCTGATTAACCTTACCATTATGATTATTATTATCATACTAGATAGTTAAACCTTCCTTCTTCTTCTTCTTCTTCTTCTTCTTGTTCATACAATGAGGTCATTCTAATCAAACTAATGAAGAAGAAGAAGAATATAACATGAATATATAATAATAAGCAGATTGTTAAGGTAACAAAATCTCATTAGAATAAAGTTGGAACGGTTTCAAAAACATGTCCATTTTCTTCTTGTAATGTTGAAATGTTCATCTTCATCTATTCAAAAATTAAAGGCTTCCCTTAAAACTTACAGGTTAGTTCGTTAAATTTCAAAATGATGTAAATGATATGGATGATATTCATTGATTCATCAGATTATCAAATAACATAAACTATAACTGTAATTAATTCATTTAGTATTGTTTGTTTTAAAGACTGACCAGTTGCAGTCCTAAACATCAATGGTAAGATTTAAACAAACAATACTAAATGAATTTAAAATTTCACATCATTGTACAAGCAAGTAGCTATCAGGACTCAGTAGCTGAGTGGATAACGCGATGGCGTTTGAAGCGAATGGTACTGGGTTGGAGTCCCAGAGTAAACATCAACTTTGAAATGCAGGTACATCTAGCTGACGAGTCCCAAATAGGACAAAACGTGCTTCAAACTGTATTTTACTGGTAGCCACTATCCATCTTTGCTTATACCTGTAATAGATTTATGCAAACTGATTATGTAATAACTGATAGTTGAAAATTAATCCATATTCTGTTATTAAGTCTATAATGCTTATGAAATACTATTGACTATTGAATTGTCTACACTCTAAGACACACGACATTCGAGGCCACTCCGTTTGATTTTAGAGAGAAAGTTATGGACCTTGAAAGTTTCATTTAAAATTCATGTGTTGATTTGAAGAAAAACTAATGAAGCACATTATGCGTATTATACTACTATTTATCTATACGAATAAGCTATAATCAAACTCAAATTATAATTACCATACTTCAAATTCAACTGATTATTAGTTTGTTCTAAAAAGTAGCTGTCTTATGGTGAGTAAAATTTGAGAGTTGTACTTGGCCCAAAATATCCAATCATCAATTTATCCCCAAAATGTAGTAGACAAACATTCCTATTTTATCTGACTGAGTAACATACATAGAACATTTGAATAGATACAATAACCAAACAATCGAAAGTAGTATCGATATTTCAAAATTATTTGGCAAATAATACCTTCATGTTTAGATTACTTATTTCCTTCCGTCTATCAACCACCAATGTGTATAGATTTTATTTCACTGTTTTTCAATAGTGTCTGCATTTTGAGTGAGTATAAGAAACGACATACATTCCCTTGGAAGTAATTCGTTTTTAAAGACGACCACAAACATGTAAACAGCTTCTACTCAACGTTTCTCTGGAACAATCATCTCTGAAAACAGCATCGCTCCATGGATGTGAATGTCTAGAGAGTGGTAAATTATTCAGAAAACACATCACATTCAAAGTATTTTCAAGACTGTTCCTTACATTAAACATACAAACTACTTCTTTTTACTTCAAGTTGAAACTTAACGAAAATGTGCAAATAAATATAAAGCATTCAAATTACTCTTCAATGTAAATGTCACAAATCAATAAATGCTATAATTTCAACGGAAACACTCTGAGAAGTAGTAGTGGATTGTAGGGCTTAAGAAAAGTTTCATGGCTTCAGTTTATAAAGAAATGTAAATCCATAATTGAAAGTTTGCACGAACCAACATAAGTAGACAAAAATTTTGACTGGTACGTCCTGGATTCGAATCTCGCTCGCGAGACGGAATCATGGATGCGCACTGCTGACCAGTCCCAAAATAGGACGAACCGGCCTTAAAGCAGTGCTTCCAGGTTGTCCATGGTGGTCTACATTCATTTGACTCATGATTTCAACTATGAAAATACTGAACTCTCAACAAAATCCTTTCTAATTTTATCTTAATGATCAAGACAAATGTTACTGAAAAGATCATACCATTTCTTGACTTTATGTATCAGTGTCAGTTTCATTTAACACTACATACTATATTTGTACAATTGATATTCCTTGTAGGTAGTTTCATACTACAATTCAGTTAGACAACCATTAGATCATACTATAAATAAATGGTGTTCCTTTTTGCACACGGACAAACATTACTACCAAACTGTGTTTTTGTGTAAGCTAAAATTAGAAAACCATTCAGGTTTCAATGAAGACTTGTTGTTCTAACTTTTATACTAAGAAAAGACTTTTAAATTTCCTCTTGACATTTACCTGAAAAATGTTTAATTGTGAAGTCGCATTTTAAAAACTGCACCTGTAATTCTTCTACGGTTGCTGACGGTCTCAAGACCGTTTAGACGAGGAAAATTGAGCATATTGTCCGCAACCCTATCACGTAAATATCAACCATAGTAGAAAAACTCCAACCAGAATAATTAAAATAAACTATTTGAACTTTGCCTTCCCAGTTAAATTATCATCATTTAGAAGTATGATGATGCCTTATGGTGAAAGTTGAGGTTGATGACCATCCTAACCACTAGAACATTGATTAATATAAGTAAATAGAAATAGTCCAGACTCTAGAAACGTTACAGTTCTTAAACAAATTAGCACACCTATATCAAGGCAGTATAAATACTTTCATTCAATAAGCTTGGATAAAGCATTGCAAATTTTTAGTTTATATATTCTCAGTCCTATATCTCTTATACTTTTAAATGAATACAAGTGATTTCGATTACAAAATTGTTGTGTTCATAGGATCTGAGAAGTGTTAGGTTGCCAAGAAATTCAGAGGATTTTATAGTCAATAAGATACAATCAGAACATTAAAATGCAGATGTCGAATATTTAGCATTTTGCATGCAAGGAATCGATTTTAGGGTAGTTCAATATTCCCTCACAAAAGCATACATAAAGCTACATAGGTACCACTTGGCAGCAATAGAAGAAATCAGGTCGATCACATTTGCATCAATAAAAATTTCAGAAGGTGTTGACTGGATTTTCTACAGTCCAAGCCATCCAATATTTTTGACCAATTCATTTGATTTTAGAGGGAAAGCAATGGACCTTAAAAATTTCAGTTCGAAATAGTGTGTTAAGAGATATGCGTCTGGTCATGTTAAGCTGTCGTTGGTCAATATAAATGGATTGATATCTATTCTTCCGCTTCGTTTTATATTACCCCAACATTTTCAAGTTTCATAATACAAACACTGGTCAATAGACCGATAACATTTTCGTTCTATGACTTGGTTTAACAAGTGAAAGATTCGTTATTTTTGATGGTTATCTGGTATATGTGTTATAGGATGCTCTTCATTGTTTGTTTAAAAAACAAGTGTTGAATCATCACTTTGATCAGAGAAGTTACCAGCTCACTATTGCCACCATATATTCTCTCCAAAGTTAAAGTCGGCTGCTCATATTAATAGAACATCGTTAACAAATGCTTCATAAATATTCAATGACATGAGTAGTTTATGGTACAGTATTATAATCTCCATTCACCAGGTTCTATGTTGGTCAGTTGAGTTGTATGAAGCAATAAATATTACACAAAATCATGTAGTTGGCTATTGAGATAGACAAGACCTATAATGAGTCACAAGTTTTGTCGGTCACAGCATACATTGTTTATTGACAGATTCATTTGATATTGCTTCAGTCTATGTTGTTCAGACATCAGTGAAGTGTAACGTGGTTCTTCCTAATTGTAATGCAATACTTTGGTTGACTGTTAAGGTAGGGTAGATGTGAAATCGGTGAACATGATGGTAATGTCTCAGGTCATATGTCATGTGATGGTCTGTCACTATATAAGTGTATATGCCAGAAGAAATCCGGTAGTAAGTCTTACGTAGTGTGAAAATGCTTCTGTAGATAACAGTGAGAGGAGTAAAGATTAGTGACTTATTAATTCGTTAATTGGTGAAGTGCTTTCACAAAACAAGTACAAATCGAACCTGGACTATTAAGTCTTGTGAAGAACATGATCAATTTAAGTAGTTAGGTGGGAGTCCTATAATTTGTGCTCTCGAATTACTTCGAATCAATATAAAGCTCATTCACTATACATTATCATCAGGAATATATGTCTCACTCGTATCATGACTTCATTTCAACAATCACAATCCCCTAATATGAACTCCAGAAATCCATATGAAAGTAATCTAACAGTAAGCACTTGATAAACACTTTAGCACTGTATTAAGTAAGAATGTCAGGATTGTCTAGAACTTCATATTTTCTACAACTCATTGTCAATTTACATCAAATAGTAAACCAAACTGGATTCATAAACCATCCATGGACAGATCTTGTTGGAAACAATGTATTAATTTCAATGCATACTTCATTCATTCTAATCCAAAAACGTGTCAAATTGAATAATCCAATTTAAACTAATTAAACATAAATAACACCTAATTAACTCTTTTCAACATTTTCTTAATTGCTGTCTGATATACATTGCATAGCACCTATTAAAGATATGTCTGAACTATTTTGTCAAATTAAACTAAAGTATGAATATGGAAAGTTTACCGTATATGAGATTGATTGACTAAAATAAAAAAACAAAACACCTTCTACAATTCACATAACAACAGTAAAATTTCAAAGGAATCTCCTTAAGAATACCGATAGGTTCATCAATTAGTTGAATGATTGAACTGACTACATTCTCATTAACAAAGTGGAACTATTGAAGGATTCAATTATAAGCAAATATTTTTATAATGAAATTCATTATAGTTTGTTTTTCTTAAATTCCATAGTTATTTGTCATTCAAATTGGTTAGCAACAAAATTGAAAGTTTCTTTGAA